TGTAACCATGGCAATGAGACAATATACGATAGAATGAATGTAAAACTAATGTTCTCCCATGTAAACTATCACATAATTCACAATAAAACATTTAAGGAAAAAAAAAAAAATAGACTGTCTTAAACACAGGGAAAACTTAACAGACTATAGGGTAACCCCAAAGAAAATTACTTCACAACTTACCATGAAAATGAAGATCCAAGCAGAACAAGGAAACATTAAAACTAAGAAGAAACCAACAAGAAATAGCACACAAAAAAAAAACATGAACGCAGCACAAGAAGGCATGCAGAACAAAGAAACAAACAGCACCACAAAAAAATTAACATAATGACAGCAGTTAATCCATACTTATCGATAATTATACTGAATGTCAATGGAGTAAATGCACCAATGAAGAGACAAGAGAGTGGCTGAATGGATAAGAAAACAAGATCCTTCAATATGCTGTCTGCAAGAGACACATCTTACACACAAAGACAAAAACAGACTAAATGTTAAACAATGGAAAAAAAATGTACCAAGCTAACAGCAATAAAAAACAAGCAGGAGTGGCAATATTAATCTTTGATAAAATAAACTTTAAGGCAAAAACAAGCATAAGAGATAAAGCAGGAAACTATCGCATGATTAAAGTGTCAATTGAGCAAGACGACATAACCATAATTAACATCTATGCTCCAAATTTTGATAGAGCACCAAGATATAGAAAGAAAACCCTACTAGAATTGAAGAAAGAAATAGATAAATCTACAATTATAGTGGGAGATTTTAATATGCCACTTTTGAAAAGGGATAGAACCACCAGAAAGAAACGACAAAGCTACAGAGGAACTAAACAGCACAATCAACCAACTTGACCTCATATACATATACAGAGTATTCAACCCAACAACAGCACAACACACATTTTTTTCCAGTGCACATGGAACATTCTCCAGAAATGTCCATGTGTTAGGTCACAAAGCAAGCCTCCATAAATCTACAAACACGAAAATACTACAAAGCATCTTTTCAGACCACAAAGCCATAAAAATAGAAATCAACAATAAGACAACGAAGGAAATAAAGTTTAATACATGGAGACTGAGTAACACCCTGTTGAAGAGTGACTGGATAATAGAAGAAATTAAACATTAATTAAGAAAGTTCCTATAAACAAATGAGAACAAAAACACAACACACCAAAATCTTTGGGACACAGCGAAAATCAATTGGCCACATATATAGGTTTGTTTGTAGGCTTATTATTATGCTCCACGGACACTGATTTTGACAATTCTACTGTAGCTTAAGTCAGAACACCCAAGGAGTTCAAGTGTTTCAACATTTGTTCTTGTCCAAAATTGTTTTGGTATTCCTTTGCCTTCTTTTTTGGATCACTGTGTTTTCTATTTAGGTGAAAGATTACAAAAACACATTAGCTTCCCATTCTACAATTTATACACATTTTGTTTCATGATCACAGTTGTTAATTCCTTCAATTTAACAGCACTCCCACTTCCTCCCTGGGTTCCCATTTCCATGTTGCCCATCTTTCCTGCTGCTTTCCAACCTTCTGAACATTGTTTTTAGGCAAATGCTGTCCATTTGGTTTCAAACGGTTGATATTAGTTTGCTTTTCCTCTAAAACTTTAAAAATCATGTTAGCAATCAATATACACAAAAATACGTTGGGTAGGATCATAGACTGAACTTGTCCTCCAAAACTATTTGTCCACTTGTCTGGATCATGATTCTCAGCCCATTTTGTGAACTGATGTAGTTATCCTACACTATGTTTTATAAGGACTCCTGGTGTGGTGCTGTAAGATAAACACTGGACTGTGAACCACAAGGTTGGTAGTTCAAACCCACTCCTGCTCCTCAGAAACCCTGTACAGGTCGCTGTAAGTAGGAATCGACTCAATCTCAAATGATGCCATGCCATTAGATGTTGAAAGGAAATAAAGATCTACCTCCAAAGAGAAAACATCCCCCTGAATTTAGATTGCTAGCTTCCTAAACTAAACTGTAATGAGAATAGAAGACATCCATTGTGGTATTCCTTTTATAGCAGCACTACATAACAAACACAGGTAGCAATGACATTGAAAGAATAGTGAGTTTAATTCATGAACACTGTAAATGTCTCCCCTTTCAATACGCATACCTTGGAGATTATTTTGGGTTCAGTTTCAGACCACAGTAATAAAGTAAACATAGCAATAAAGCGAGTCGCCACATCTGTGAAGTGCAATAAAGCGAAGTCCAATAAAACAAGATATGCCTGTATTTGGGTATTCTTTGACTTTTCTCATCATAACTAAGTTCTTACTCATAATCAAGTTTATCCACATTTTGTATTTTTTGTGGTGTCTCCCTTATAGAGGTGGTTCTATGATTTTTAGCATTTGTCAGGATCCATCCAACCTGGATCTATACCCCCAAGAAGGGTAAATTTTAATGTATATAAGTTATACTTGAATAAACTTCATTTATAAAAGAAAAACACAAAATAGTGGGTAAAATTTTACTGTGGTGAACAGCCGTGGAGTAATAAACCCAAACATGAAGTCAGTAAAATCTATATGTCACAATAATGACCCATAGCGACCCTGTATAGGGTTTCCAAGGAACAGTTGGTGAGCTTGAACCACTGACCTTGTGGCTCAAACCAACTTTACAGTCCAGCACATTAGCCCATAGCACATTAGCCCAGGACTCCACACCATTAATGTTACGTTGTTGCTGTCGTTAAGTACAGTTGAGTGATAACGACCCATAGGGACTCTGTATAGGGTTTCCTAGGAACAACTGGTGAGCTTGAACCACCAAACTTTGGATTCAAATTGGCTTTGCAGTCCAGCGCTACAAATTTATATTTTAAAATGCTAAATTGTTTCTCATAATTTCACTACTAATATGAAAATTCTTGAATAAATTATATGAAGAGCACTTAAATAACAAATATTTTCAGAAAATAAACTCAAAAACAGCTGGACTCAGAAAAATTTGCAGAAGCAATCTGGCCCCAAACCTAGAACCTTATCTGGCTACATTTTAGTTATATACCTAAGAAATTATATATATATGTCAGACACACTGATATTCTAGTTTGGATTTGTACTGACTTTTGCTTGACTGCCCTCTAAAGCCTCTTAATCAAGGTACAGAAGGGAAAAATCACATGTCTCACAGTCTATGAGATATTCAAGTGAGAGACTCCAGAGGATAAGAACAGCTCAGGCCTAGGTTAGCAGCTTGCATTTCTTTATTCTCCATCTACACATGTTTTACATCATCTCTGCATGAAAACACAAAAGAGAGGGTGTCAAATATTAAAAAGCACAACAAAAAACAAAACTTACCGGTTCCCTCATCTGCACCATTCTGAGCAGCTTCCCAAACTACTGGTTTTGTCCCACATCCATCTGTGGACGGAGAATCTGAATAGTCCGCAGGATTAAACGTCCTGGGATTTAAATAAATATAAAGATAAATGAAGCAAGCACCAAAGCCACAAAATTGACTGTCCATGATTTTCCCCCAAACAAGTCCACCTACATCTCACAGTCACTGTAAGACATTGCCCTTAGTCCCTTATGTAATTACCCATAATTCATCTGGCCATCAGGATGTAAAACTTTCCTAAAGCAATGCCACACACATTCTAAGATGGATGTAAAGACCTGAAATCATTGTAAGCAGAACAAGAGTTCTAATGAAAAGGCTCCCTAGAAACTAAGGCAAGGCTGAAGAAGAAAATAAGTTTCTTTCTTCCAAAATCAAAATCTAACCTTAGCTTTGAGCCTTTATTTAACCAAAGCATTTTGTTGTCCTTTCTGCTAGGAAAAACTCCTTGGTTGGTACAAATGGTTAATATGACTAGCTGCTAATCAAAAGTTTCGAAGCTCAAGACCTTGAAACAAAGTCCTGTCAATCTACTTTCTGAAAAATCAGCCACTGAAAACCCTATAACTCTCAGTTGTACCCAGACACACATGGAGTGGGCATGAGTCATAAACAACGGGTTATTAGTGTGTGTAGAAACGCTGGATATTGATAAGAAGAAAGTTTTGTCCAACATCTTTCCATTTTCTCTTCATTAAAATCTTAAACTGAAAATACACAAGTAATCATGATTCAGAGGTTTAACAAGGGCTAAAAAATAAATAAATAAAAACTATCTTTAAAATTTTCACCAAGAGTAGTTTTGAAAGCAAATTAAAAAACCCACGGAACAGTAGATTATATATTTAAAGTGATCCTATCAGTTTGCTTCCTGTGTTTTCATCCCTCCCTTCTTCACAGGAAGCTTGGGCAGAAATCAGTGATGGCAAGATGCATTGCCACCTCCAGAGGGCACTGGTCCAACAGTGCTGCTCTGAAGCTTTGGAGAAACAAAGGGCTCTTTCTGGAGCCAAACCTCTCACTCCCTTACCTCCTTCTGCATAAGCTATCCACACACTTCACGATTTAAAAAAAAAAAAAAACAGTGAGAACTAGTATCTTAGAAGCAGCAGAAAGGGAAACACCAGGAAAAAATGAAGAAACTGAGAATTAAAACTATTTAGTTCTTTTTGAGTGGAGAACCTTCTTGCCCCTCTCTCTCTACCACATCCAAATCCTTTCATAGGAAATATACTAAAGTGTAAAAACAATACTCTGTCCTACACAATTATACTGCTACCAGCTTCTTCATCCTATACCCTTCTATCCAAACAATAGTCACTGTTCCTAACAGCAGCAACATTCCCTCCCAAAGACCCAACCTGTTGGTTAATGCTGACACAACTACCTGCCCAATGCTCATCCGTTACTACTATAATTCAGGGGAATAATGATCATTTTTATGTAAGCCTTACATTTAGAGAACTGGGTTTTACCAACAAAGCTCTTATGCAGTGGTTCTCAACCAGGGACTGATATGCCCCCCCAGGGTGAATAATATCTGGAATCATTTTTTGTCACCACTAGATGATGGGATAGGAAAATGAGGTGAGTGCTCCTGGGATCTAGTAGTCAGAAACCAGGGATACTGCTAAAAATGTTACAATGCACAGGACTCTGCCTCCAACAAAGAATTGTCCAATTGAAAATATCAAAATGCCAAGGTACAGAAACTCTGCTCTAATGTCTATTGAAGAATCAATTTTAATTAAACAATTTCACTTGTTGTAAACTCTTTTTTTAAGTATACAAAACACTCAAGTCACTGGGTAAGGAAATTAGGTACAAGACAAAGGAAGAAACCAGAATAACTACTAGGAAAGGCCATGACTACAAGCAGGATGGTGTGACTTACCCCATTCCTTGAGTGGAGAACCTTCCTGCCCCTCTCCCTCTGCCACGTCCAAATCCTTTCAAAGGAAACACATAAATGTGTAAAAACAATACTCTGGCTTACACAATTTTACTGCTAATAGCTTCTTCATCCTATACTCCTCTCTCCAAACAATAGTCATTGTTCCTAAAAGCAGCAGCATTCCCATCCAGTGCACCCAACCTGTTGGTTACTGCTGACACAACTACATGCCCAATTAGTGACTCCAAAATATAAAACAGCATCGAATTCTGTTCCTATAATATTTGTGGCATATTGAAGTTTAACACTGTGAGAACATATTATAAAACTGTGTGGGTCTTTCAGTACAAACACCATGACATAAACCTCTACTATAAAATGAACCAAAGAACCAGAAAGAGAAAACTACTAAACACTCTGCACACAGTGTTTAAGCATCACTTTGAACACTGGCACTTAGACCAATAACCAACCAGGATGGCAGAAGGCCTAAGTCAAGGATAAAACCAGATGTTGTAAGGGAAAAAGGAAAAAGGAATTCCCGTGGTTCCAGGGATGGCCACTTATATGTAATTCTTGTTGTTGTTAAGTGCCATCAAGTCCGTTACAACTCACAGCAATACTGTATATGGTTTCTGAAGAGAAGCAGGTGGGTTTTAACTGCTGACGTATGGTTAGCAGTCCAATGCGGATCCTGCAGCACCACATCAGAAGTTCTTATATGTAATTGTTGTTCTTGTTATTATGTGTCCTTGAGTTGGTTCCAACCTACAGCAATCTTTGTAACTAAGGAGTTCTGGTAGCATATTGGTTATAAGTTAGTCTGCTAACCTCAAGGTCAGCTGTTTGAAACTAACAGCCATTCCGTGGGAGACAGATGAGGCTTTCTGCTCCCGTGAAGATTTACAGCCTCGGAAACCCTATGCAGGGTCCCTATGAGTCAGAATCAGACTCCATGGCATATAACCACCACCACCACCACCAAGGTTTTCCACAGGTAAACCACTATGAAATATACCTGAACATGAACCCTATCTAAGAAGAAAGCTTTCAGTCAACACATTTTGGCAAGAACACAATCCAAATTTAGGAATAAGACAACATAATCTTAGAGTTTACTTTTAAGAAAATAATAAAACAATACTATTAAAGAGAGCTAATTCTGAGAACTTGAAACATTTAGCTATAAATAAAATGCTGAACAATGGAATATTCAATATTTTATTTATAGTTAAATGTTTTAACTAAACATATTATAACATAGAAGAACCTTAAAAACATGCTAAATTAAAGAAGCCAGTCCCAAAAGATCCCATATGATTCTATTTTATGAAATGTTGAAACAGACATATTGAAAGGCAATGGGTGTGGGGGTGCTAAAAGGTATGAAGCACGTCTTTTGGGGGCAATTAAAATGTTCTGAAATTGCACTGATAGTTGGACAATTCTGGGAATATATGAAAAGCCACTGGAACTGTAAACTTTTAATGAGTGATCTACATGATTTGCAAACATTATCTCAATAAACAGGTTACTAAAAAATTATTAAATGGGTTCATGGGCATCTATTAATAAAGAAAATATTTATTCCAGTGCCATACATGTGATAAATGGCACTAACAGTAGTTAAATATTAAGAAAATAGTGGCAAGTTTTTACAAAGGGATTCTGCTAAGAAATCATGAAATAATATCAAAAACACATGGGGCTGCAAGACAAGCTATGTAGGAAAGAATAGCAAGATGGGGACTTAAGAAAAATAAAAATCCTAAGACCAGAAAGTTTTTAAAGAATTCCTTTGAATGACCTGGAAACAGTCTGTTTCAACTACACATGGCTCTGTCTCAAGAGAGCTGTAGTAACCAAGAATTAAATTAAAACAAAGCAAATATCTTAGGAATATTTTAAAAACTTCCCTATAAATTGAAGAAAGACTCTAAAAATTGTTCATTCTTACTCACATGGCTCATATCACTACCAGCAACATTTATTTTATATAGATGCACAGACACATATATATGTATGTGTATATATATATGTATATATATATGTATATATATATATATAAACCATCTCCTACATAGCTATCTGGAGTCCTGGTGTGGCGCTGTGGGTTAATGTGCTGGACTATAAAGCCATTTGAACTGCAAGGTTAGTGGTTCAAGCTCACCAGCTGCACCTCGGAATCCCTAGCCAGGGTTGCTATGGGTCAGAACTGACTCAACAGCACTTAACAACAACAACATAGTTATCTGAGAAAAATGGCTTTTTTCAGTAGGGAAAAATAAGTCCAACGTTTCTGGAGATTAGCATAAAGAATAAATCCATATTATGATAACACCTCTAACTATCAGGTACAGTGTTTCATTATGCTATACATAAGGTTGCTATGAGTCGGTATCGACTTGATGGCACCTAACAACAACAACTACCTACCTATCCTCCTAGAGGATAGGCGTCTACTACATTTATTTTGAATCACTGATCAAATTCATAATTAACTCATATTATGCCTTTTACGCTGAAAGCCAGAAAGGGAAAGTTGCAATTTCCCTTAATAAAGCCAAAAACTCAAAAAACAATCAGCCACCTCTAGTGGGTGTATATCCTAACTGCAGACATCATCCGTATAGTACTGAAGATGTACAACTGAAAGAAACAGGTAGGGAGAGTGATCATAAGCTCAGAAGATATGAAAAAGTCCCTAGGGAGATACTAAAAAAGCTATGAAAGAGCTCTAAGATCATAGCTAGTTCTAAAGTTCTTTGTATTGACAACTCACATTTTCAGAGTTGACTCAATGATAAAGGTAGTACTGTGCTGCTACAAATACACTACGAGCTGCCCCCATGCCCAGAGACCTATTCCAACTACACAGACAGCAGAATATTTCTGGGGTTGCCTTTTTCACAGCATTAATTTTCTTCCATCCAGCAGGACATCAGTCACCTGCAACCTCAAGTACTAGTCATTACCTTACTTGACTCAAGCTCACCAAAAGACAACAACAAAATACAAGCATGCTAGAGAACAAACAAGATGGCAGATCAGGTGGACGTGTAGCAGAGAGCTCCGCCAACAACAACATAGAATACCCGACCAAGCAGGCTCAGGGGATGGTCCCAGAACTCTGAACCACACATAAAGGAATACTGCGAAGGTTGGAAGGCTCACAGCTGAGGGAATTTGTGGCAGAAGCAATAAATCTACTGCTTTCTAGTCTGGGACGCTCAGCTGCTCCAGGAGCCGCCATCTTGGGTGAGAACACGCAGGAGAAGGATCGGAGCAGCCACAGACACTCCAGATTATAGAGTTCTAATGTGGCACATAAGATAAGT